TCATCATTAATAAAAAATGGTTTAATCTCCTAATTGTACATTTTTATTCCTGTAACATTATAACTTTATTCTCAAAACATGATTAAATTGTAATAACATTGTCACTTTCTCAAAACATTTTGACTTTTTTTTTTTTGTAAAATGTATTGTTTTTGTTATTTTACTTTGACACTGTGTTCACACTGTATTCGATCTGATTTAAATATCACCAATACTGTAGTTTTCATGTAAATGTGTTGTCGTTTTTCATGTTAAAGAACTTGATGAAGCAGGAAGTTGTAGCCTACAGTTTGAGGGTGAATGACCAATATTGTGTTCATCAGTCATGTTCTAATGAATCATGCAGGACCGAGATGGCTTGACAGATGGTTATGGCTTCAGCAAACAAGCCTGCCCACCCCCTACTTAGTAATGTGGGGCTCTTGACGTTTTAAAGCCCTGTGGTGGAATGAACAAAGAACCCAGCGATTGAATAAAGGAACGCAAATCTATCGTAACAAAGCACTGCCCCCTTCAGGAGAGGAGACATCTGAGGATACCCTGAAATCATATTCTGTGAAAGATGCTCCTCCTCTATTTGACTTCATACTTTACCCAGTAATGCCTCCCTCTGTTTTTCTCCATTCAGTTGATAAAAGCACAAGCTTTATTTAGCCATTATTTATGTGCCTGCTTTCAGACCTGGTTTTTGAGGCCAGAGCAGAGCTTTTTTGGCACTATTTTGACCATATAAAGGTGAAACATCTTAAGGCTCTGTGGTTCTTGTAAAAAAAAAAAAAAAAAAAAAAAAAAAAAACGGAATTAGTGCTTTGGTTTTGAAAAGCATGGATGAGACAGTGATGAACCATGGGGAGCAATTGCCTATAATATTGCATTTTTGTCATAGGCAAAATTCAAAACTCCTCATTGGCTGTCTGAAGACCTAATCCATTTTACATCTTGGCAAGAACGAACGGGATACTTTGATAGTCTTGATAGTCATGATTGACATGGAAAGTGACCGACCACACACAGCTAGTTTTGCTTTTATCATTCATTCAATTAATTTCTACATTCAAATAACTATTGATTATTTCACAGAATTTACAGTTATATCTAGTTATCTTGCTTCTAAGCACTTTCAACTTTTGAGTATCTTCTAACAGTTTGATGCATTAATTCGTCCTCTGAACTGTTCATTGCAGCGGGCCGATACTTTGTAAAATGTAATTTGCTGCTTCCGAATATGCCTACTTTTCTACTATATAGTATGTGAAAAACAGTATGTGAGACGAGTAGTATGTCATAAAACAGAAGGCGAAAAGTACCCTTATCCCTACTACTTCCTCTGAGCTTCTGAAGGTTGCATTCGATGGACACTTTACTATCCCAGAATTTGTGAATGGAAGTGAAGCAACTGACAACGCATTCAAACTACATACCATTAACCATTACCATTTAACGGTCACCAAGTACCTGAGATTTTGGATGCAGCGTTTGTTTCCAAAATCAAATTGGAGCTATAGGGTTGATGGATTTGATTTTTTTTATTTTAGTTTTTAGTTCAGTTAATTCATTTCACTCTACCACTGTACAATTTTATCAGTGTTTTAGTTTATTTTAGTTTTAGAATTTTGTGCTGCCAACGCTAGTGATTTAAATGATATAGTTTAAAGGATATTCACCCAAATATGACAATTGTCATCATTAACTCTGCCTAATGTTATTCCAAATCAGTTTATTTCTAATGCAGAACACAAAGAAAGATATTTTGAAAAACTTTGGGAACCCACCAAACATCGGAGCCTATTGACTTTCACTGAATGGACAAAAAATAAAAAACTCAAACAGATAATATTTGGTTACACTTTTTGACATTCTACTAACAATAAGTAACTTTGGAACTACATGTCAACTATATATATTTGGGTCATCTAATATGTTTACTTTCAGTTAAAGTTTTATTCTTCATTTTGGTTTCTGTTAACAGTAATAACACTGATTGAAACTGGCGCTTTTAGTCAGCTCTCACTATTTTTATGAGAAAGCTGCCATTTCTTTCTGTCCCTCTCTCTCCTTCCTCTCCCCAACGCAGCTCAATTTTCTCATGCACGTTTTAAATCAAAGCTGGATCAAGAGAATGATGCAGTTTGGCTTGAGGCATCCAGCTAATGAGAATTCACTCTACCCATAATTTTAATGAAGTCCCCTGTTCCAGGCCGCACACATTCTCTCCCGTGCGTAGTTTCGGTGCAAGACGGCACACGGCCTCAGGGCACTGTGCAGTCTTTATGTGTTTGTGTTTGTGAGTGTCTTTATGACTCCTCACCCACTCCAAAGGCAAGAAGCTTTGGAGGAATCATTCAACTTTTACATCTCCCCAGGAGTCCCACGCTGTCAGTCTGATCTAAAATACTCTTCTGCTGACACTGGACCGAGAACAGATTTTGCATTTCGTTACTCTGCTCATTATGGTCCCAAACGTGAAATATAAGTTTAACACAAAGGAGGGTGGACCAGGGATGAACTTTAAAGGGCACCCTATATTAACAATACAATGCGGGATATGACTTCACTTCCTGTGCGGTGTTATTGACCTCATAGGATCTCTGGGGACCAATGAGCCAAATACCGAGAACAGAGATGAGCCTGGCCATTTTGATGACATCATTCTTTCTATGTGAGATGCTTCCTGTTCCCAGTGTTGAGAAGATTGTGGCTTGGTGTGGAGGGAATGGACTCTCACGCTTATGTTCTCTGTTTCATGCCAAAGACTCATTAACTTGTTTCTCTGATATTGGAGATGGCTTGCTCGCTCGTGCTTTATCTCAAATGGGTTGTATTTGGACCATTGTCTGATTTTGAGAAATTGGATTGGAGAAAGGACTATGTTGTTTGCAGTGAAACATCATGAGTATATCTTCCTAGGTGCAATTTGACTGGATATATCAAGTCAGGTACTTTTAATATAAAGCCCAAATAGTGGTAGAAGCTCTCTAGAACTTGCCGTTATGATACTAGGGTGTTTTGGGTAGTTGGTTGGTGGTTGTTTCCCAGCTCAATTTCTCTGTCATTCTAGTATCCAGATATGGCCCCTCCTTCAGTGTAAGTTTTATGAGACTGCTGTCCCCAATTTTTCTTTTTCCGAAGAAGTCAAACGAGAAAGAAATACAAGTTTGAAACAACATGAGCGTGAATAAAAGATGATAGAATTAAAACAAGATGCACAAATCATCTTGATTCTCTAGGAATCATTTCAGGTTACTAAAATGTTAAGGAACGAGTTAAATGCTAAAGTTAAAGGGATACTCATTTTACAACTCCCCCAGAGTTAAACTGTTGAGTTTTACCGTTTTTGAATCCATTCAGCCGATCTGCGGTTCTGGCGGTACCACTTTTAGCATAGCTTAGCATACATCATTGAAGTGGACAAGACCATTAGCATTTCTCAAAAAAAAAATGACCAAAGTGTTTCGATATTTTTTTCTATTTAAAACTTGACTCTTCTGTAGTTACATCGTGCACTATGACCGACGGAAAATGTAAAGTTGCGATTTTCTAGGCTGATATGGCTAGGAACTATACTCTCATTCCTGCGTAATAATCAAGAAACTTTACTGCCGTACCATGAGTGCAGCAGGCGCAGGCACTTAGTCCCGGTCACGTTGGAAGTTACCGAGCTGGGGACTATTTTCAGGTGCTGCGTCATATCATTACGCCTGCTGCACTCATGGTACGGCAGTAAAGTTTCTTGATTATTACGCAGGAATGAAATTCACATTAAACCTCCTCATCATATAAAGAGATCATGTCTCTTCAGAAGACATGGATTTATGTGCTCAATTCCTGTGGATTTAGGGTGAATTCAGGTTGATTGGGACACTTTTCCCAAGTCATTTCAATAGTAAAAAGTGTTCCAATCACCCTGAATTCACCCCAATGCTACCGTCTATTTATGAACTTTTTGAACCGGCAGAGTTTTTTTGTTTTTTTTTTGGCGGGTGAACTAACCCCTCAATAATAATGGTTGTGATTGTATTATTGTTCTGAACTCGTGGTTATCTTTCTCTCGCTAAAAAAAACATCTTTTTGTAATTTCCTCAAACCCTTATGTTTGTGTCTGGGGAACATTAGCCTCTGGCTCAGTACGGCTCCTGTAAAGACCTGCATGTGGCACGCGTGCACCACCCATCCTACCACAGTGCCTTCAATTCCCCTGTCATTTAACTTTAGATCCATATAGAGCTTCTTCGGTCCAAAATGATGTTAATCTAAGCACAGGAAACATTTTCTGACATGACTTACTCAGTGACTGGCTCGTCCCATTTGATGACTTGAACTTAGCAGTGTTGTTATTGTTAACTAAAACTATTAAAAATCGTTTTCTGTAATTGAAATAAAGCTAAAATAAAATAAAAATATATGCAAAAATAAAACTTAAACATATTTCAAAGAAACATTGTTAACTTTCATTTAAGTTGAAGTACTAAGATTACTATAACTGAAAAAAAAAAAAAATTAAATATATAAATAAAAATAAAAATAAAATAGTCAAAACAAAAGCCCATAGAAAATTGCTGAACCCTAAATTAAAATTACAATGAATATATAAAATGAAAACTGAAATATAAAAAAAGCTAGTTCCAGTTATTAATAATAAACGCTGTAATGATACATACATGTTACAAAAATAATATCATCATTGTGTACATTTGCAATCCTGTATCTTTTACTTAAAGTGTAGACCAACCAAGTGCATGAAGCACATTTTAGGAGCATTTTTTTTCCGGTATTTTCAGCTGTTATTTTGGGGTTTAAACATGGTAAAATGTGCACGCCAAGCTAAAAGCATGGTAAAACCAGCCAAAACATTTAATAAAAATCATACAAGAGTGTAAACCTTTGTGAATGACCGGTGTTCCAGATCTGTGGAAATCCCTCTGTGGATTTCTGCATGTGCATACTCTGTGAGGGCCTGATGATTACAATTAATTTTAACTTTTCACCTTTTGACTTTTCAGTGTTGCTGTGGGAGTTGGTTTCTATGGAAACAGTGAAACCAATGATGGGGTGTATCAGCTGACCTATTCCCTCTATAATGCCAATCACACACTGGCGGGAGTGGACAGTTTGGTAAGTACAAATATAGCAGCACTGACTATAGATGACACATTCAGACTGTTTTTTGACTTACTGATCAATTTTAGTCTTGACAAGTTTCAGCCGAAATGTCCCTATAGTCTCGCTGACTTCTCCCAACCAAATTCTCTCCTTCCAAAAGCTCTAACATTATCTCTTTTCCCTCCCTGAAAATAGTTCTGCACTTTCTATCAAAGCGTTCCTTCCAACCAAACCTCAGCCAGATGGTCCCTATATTCTCAGAGTTCAGTTGTCTGCTTCTGTAAAATCTTTTTTTTTTCCTGCCAATCAGCGCTGCTAAAATTTCATGGGTTCCCCCACTGAGCGCATGATTGATTTTCTGACATCCCTTTTGCAATAGCAAGGACACCATTGAAGATATATGGAGTTACATGATGCCACCGCATGTCTCTTTGGAAAAATGTTGCTCCCGTGAACGACGAGGAGTGCATCTATGCGTGTTAGAAAACTGAGACTCACTCTAGTGTGTTCCTGTGATATGGAGTAGTTGAAGAAAATACCTCAAATTGGTTTTTACAGCCTTTTATGTTTGTGCCATTATTAAGGCCTCTTTTTCCTTCCGTCATTGTCCCTTTCAAGGCCCTGAAGGCTGTGGCATGAATAAAACCTAATTCATGCATCTGCAGCCAGACCTATTTATATCCGTCTCCGTTTTTCTGATTCAAATGCGTAGAGCTGACAGTGACACTAAGACGCTTTAATCCTGCTTCACGCACCAATTTCATGCACTCGTTCGGGCCTTTCATGCCTCTGGTTGTGAGTTTTAGCTATTTCATTGCCTGGTGGACTGAAAGACTGCAAAAGCAATTAGTTCACCTATTTCCCCCTTTAAAGGTGAAGTGAGTAATTTTACAGGAAAAAACAATTACTGTTTTTCAAACGGTTTTCCTGAAAATATCCCATCACCCATTGATCAGGTGTGATCTGTCTATCTCTCTATCCATCTATCTGTCTGTCTGTCATTCCATCTATCACTTTCCACACAGACATACAGCAACTGTTGTTTAAACAGGACATTTCGAGAGTCACACCTGTTAGTATAACAGTCGTCAATCCTGAATACTGTGAGTTTGAGGTCCATTGGACATTAGTCCAGCTCTAGTGATGACATCATCAATCATAACCATATATTTATTTCCAAGTGTGTAGCTGATGCATACGTTTCCATATGGAACTTAAAAAAGGTATAGATTTGAGTGCAAACATCTCACAAGCTATAGATCAATAATCCACACCTGTTCAGCTCACTTACACCTCTTGTATGAGCCTTCAGGGAAGTGTTTATGCTGTGGTTCTGAACCGAACAGGGACTGAAGGCGCTCCGAGCATCTGCCCGCTCACACCATTGAGGAGTTGAGGATTAGCTCCCCATCTGCACTAATGGAGATTAATGCATCTGTTTCTGTCTCACTCTGAATTATTATGAGGCACACACTTGTCTGAGGTCAACTTGATCCTCTCACCACACGGTCTGAGTCATCACGAGCCAAAAGGCAAAACTGACCTAGGAACTGCACTTTCGGGGGAAGAATCAGCCATAATTTTCATTAGCATTCGGCCTCAAGGAGATCACAGTACTGAGCTGTGAAAAAATGATGTAATGGTGCTCAGAAGGGCTAGAGATGTTTTAGATATCCAGGTCATGACCTCAGATTAATGTCAGCTTTGATAGCTTCAAGAATCATCAGTACATTTATCTAAGCCTGCCATCAAGCTAAAGAGACCCTCCATTCTTGGATTGCTCCTTCGAGACCAATGGCACAAAGTGTCCACTGTCTGAAAACCCTGCATGCATTGCACATAATTGGCCTTGAACCTTGCGACAAAGGCTTTGATGAAGTCACTTGTGAAACCTTCGACTTCCTGATTGAGGCTCTTCAATGGTTCTGCCTGCCTGAAAACAATGATTTAATTTGGCATCCATTGCACGCAGATGCTCGGTCTCACACTCATGTACACACTCAATCACACACACACACCCACACTCGTTTTGTTTGGGATCACTGTGCAGGCCTTTCAAATGAGTTAAGAGGAGTAACAGACTTTTTTTCTGGAGTGTTGAGTGGTGACGGCTTGGTTTTAGGGTTTATTGGTTCTGGGCCATAAGGTCTCCTGTTCACCTCCTCTCAACACCCCCTCTGTGCTTGCAAATGAACTGTGGTTTCCTGTGAGGATCTGTTTTGTGTGCACAGAGGCACCTAAGGATTATCAAGGACATAAATTATTTGGTTTGAATTATTTGGTTACAGAAGAGGAGAACCATAAGGAATTAGATTTGTTTTATGTTGTATACACTTTATAAAATGTAATTACAATTAAAATATTTCTTTTTTTTATGAATTCTTAGTTAATCATTTATCGTTTTACTGTACTATATTCAAATTAATATACAATATGAACAATTTAAAACGGATATGTTAAAAATACCTTTTTATTTATTTAATAACTTTTATTATTTGGATTATAATATTTTACATTTATAATTTTTATTATTATTCATTCATGCGGAGCCCCTAAAGAGGCATGGTGATGGAAAAAATATGAGATCGGAGGAACAATTATGTCAATGCAACTTCAATCCTCTCGCAAATGTTTTGCGTTTCCCCTGAAAAACTTTGTATTCTCTCGCAACTTTTTTTTCTCAAACGCAAACTTTCTCGGGAGATTGCAAAAGTTTTTGCAAGGGAATGCAAATGTTTTGCGATCAAACACAAATTTTTACGCAAAAGCATTAAAAAAAATTCCACCACCATGTACCATTTACGGGCACCGTAAATTCTCAATATTATTGTTTTAGATCATATTTTCATGTTTTGTACAAAATTATTCTTCTTAAATCAGTGTCAATAAACAACATGGTCATTGTGACAACATGCCACCTAAAAGGTCAACGTGTTAATGAACAGTATTTTTGTAATAATTCTAGAAATGTTCAATAATTTTGTAGTCAATACAGGAAAAGAAAATAATATTTTCGCATTTTTTTTAAGAGGGTGGCTATGATATAACAGAATGTCAACCCAGAGCTCTGTTGTTCCATAAATACCTTTTTTTTTCTCTGCATGGTGTGACATGATGCAGAGCGCTGGGTCGTTTTATACTGTCCTCTCAGCTTGTGAAGGACACTTTTTTTTTTTATTGCTTTTAATAGAAAGCAGACATGTTTTGGACTTATGCCAGCTCCTTAACCATAAATATGTTTTCCTCATGTAACTTTATCCAGAGTTTGATTTTTGAGTGAGAAGTAGTTAGTGAAATGTTTGACGGCAAAGATTAAAGTGTCACATTTGTGGACATTTCAGTCTCCAGGCTAAAGGCTTCAGAATGACTTGCTCAAGAAAACCTGGAGGAAAATAGTTTGGAGGCAGAGTCTGTTTGACAGGGTTGTGATTTATAAACTACCTTTTTTTGTTTTCAATCTGTGGAATGGAGGTTGACTGGTCTCTGTCGGCTGGGCTCCAGGTGCAGGAGTATGAGCCACTTTAGTGCTCTACGTGTATATATTAACCTTCTGTCGGCCCCCGGCCCTTCACTGTCCCCTCCTGACCGTTCATGGCAGACACAAATCCTGAGTCAGAACTTACTAAACAGTTAATAAAATTGTAGGACTTTTTTTTTTCTCTCTCTTTCCTTTTTTTTCTGTTTTTCTTTTTATATTGTATTTTTCCTTGTCTATTCTTTTTGATTTTTCTTCAGGGAAAGAGTTCATCAAAACTGTAAATCATGGGATTATTAGCAGTTCAAGTGACTGGCAATATATTGTAATATTTAGACTATTTAGGCTGGAACTTTTGAAATGTGTTAGATTCAAGGAAGGTGTTTTTCTGAAGAGTTTTGCAAGTTTTTGCTAGTGGTTGGTGGAAAAGTTGTGGCATGCTTACCATTTCAAACATCCCAAACACTCACTGAAAGTCTCACCCACGGAAAATAACCACAATTCTCTTGATATTCTTCACACACATATCAGTTAACTGCGAGAGAAAATTGATAGCTCTTAGCTCCACAAAAGTCTTTATTACTTTGTTTATCCATCACCCATGAGGCAGACAATCAAACGTTTGCTGAAGGTGAATTTGAAGACAAAGTGAATTTGATTGTTGTGATTGAGTTCCTGACATTGTTTTTCCCCCCTTCGATGTCAGACAGGCTTTGAACCCTAAAAAGCTCAAGTTTCAACCCCTTGCTGCTCTTAAGAGTCACGTCTGATTTGTATCGTGAAACTTTGCAGTCTTTGTTCCATTGTTGGTTTTTATATGTTCAGTAACTATCTTGAGAACCTCTGAACTAGTTCCACCAGCAAATCCCCAGACATTTCCACAGCCATTATTAGAAGAAGACCTGTAAGCAGTTAGGCCATCACCCCCCTCCCCCAACCAATTTAATAGAGAAATAGAAAATCATATCTGGATATAGAGCAAGCAGCACCACTTAGTGCTTGTGTTCCATTTCACGCTTCAACTTTCCCATTCAAATTTAATTGCAGAAGCCCAGCGCCTGCAGAAACCAGAGACAATCAATTAGAGCTGCAGCGCTGGGAGAAAAATCTCGGTTTCGTATCTTAACCACTTCCTCATATGCATTACAGCTGTGGTTTAAGAAACACAGATGTCTAGCATTTCTTCATTAGCTGGATTATTGGATTACGTTCAGCTTTGATATTAAGGAGGGTTTTGCAGTCGTGGCCACACAATAAACTTTGCTATGTCCAAGAAAAGTACAAAATATTTAGTGCCGGTTCATCTGAAACTCACAATCACTCTCAGACCTTAAATAAAACATCCGAACTTATGCATTTCAAGAAGATAAAATGATTCAGGAGAATGCAGCACTGTTGAGAGATCAAAGATCTCATAGAAATGAATCTGGTCAAACTAGATAATCAATGTGGAATTGAGTTTCTCACAGCTTTGGGTATGAGATCACTACACTCTCATGATGTCATAACCCAAAGAAAGGCTGCTGGGAATTGAGTCTGGGCCATGAGTATTTGATTTCAGGATGTAGAGCATTTGTCTGGGAATCCCCTGATCCTGTGCTGTTTTTAGCTTTTATTGAACTTTAAAAATGCACATGCACCCATCCGTTTTCTTTTTTCTATTATAACCCACTCTATTTAATGTAGCTTTTGGGTGGGTCTGTGAGAAAGCATGAGGGAACACAAATTTGGTTTCATGCAGGCTGAGTTTCTTTGTGGCTGTTTGAACAGAAAAGAGTTATTATTATTTGTTTTAGAGCAGGCCCTTTACTCATGCAGTACTTTCTCATTTGCCTACTTTGGCTTTTTCCATTGCAAAAATAGGAAAGCAGGGATATTTGATAAGAGTTAATGTAGAGAAGGACATCATGTATTTTTATGATCTTATTTTTTCTGCATTTAATGTGCATGTCATCTAGATAAACAAGTTAAATTAGCAGTGTGAACTTTAAAAGCTTTTCAATTGAATTGCTTACATTTTAAATTGATTATTTAAATGTGATCTAAAGGTTTTCAGTAATGAAATGTAAACAACATGATACGATTCTGCAAAAAAGCTTTTTTTTTCTTCTTGTCAATATTTTTGATTGATTTTTATGAATCACGTAAGAGACAGTGGCGTGTCTGTTTAGTCTGCAGTTTTACATGTTTCCAAGTTAAGTCTACAACTTATAAATGCAACTAATGAAGTACACTACTGTTCAAAAGTTTGGGGTCGGTAAGATGTTAGTCCCTTATGCTCAACATGGCTGCATTTATTTCATCAAAATACAGTAAAAACTGCAATATTGTGAAATATTACTATTACAAAATCATTTATTTTTAAATATAATTTATTCCTGTTTTGGTAAAGCTGAATTTTCAGCATCATTTCTGCATGATCCATCAGAAATCATTCTAATATGTTGATTTGCTCAAGAAACTTTTCTTATTATCAGTGTTGAAAACAGTTTTGCTGCTTAATGTTTTTGTGGAAACCATGTTACCTTTTTTAATTATTTTTTGATAAATAGCAATTAATACAAGTTAATGCATCCTTGCTGAATAAAGGTATTCATTTCTTTAAAAATAAAACACCCTTTATGAATTTTTGAATATGTCATTATAAAACCAAAGTATTTCTGATTGCACTCACAATGATATTCACTCTCGTAGGTGACGGGTACTATGGGAGGCATGCAGAGCGGCCTAAATGAGCACTTGTCTCGACTGGGCGAGATCTTTGCCGCACGGGGAGACTTTGTGCAGACGCTACAGTTCATGCAACAGATGTCAGATAACATCATTAAGCAACTACTGGGGCTTCCTGACTGGGAAAAGGCAAAAGTAGACCTGACCGCCATAGCCGATCAGACTGCATACGTGGAGTATTACAGGTAATGATGAGAGCTGTCACCTTGAATTTGACCATAATGTACCTCTCCTGTATTTTCTCCATTTTCTGCAGAATGCAGGTCTATTTTCCACTCTTGTTTTGTAGCAGGAAAAATCATTATGAAGTATTTCATCCTTGATATTCTGCTAAGTGTGGTTGAGTGAAGCGCCATAGTAGTCCATCAACTGCTAATGCATGACTACATGTGTGTACAGTCTGTTTTATAGTTGCATTTAAAGTCATTTCCTTGCGTTAGACACTATAGATCACATGTTATTTACTGCTGCAGCTTCACTGCTGGCCATTCATCCGCCAGTACTGGATTCATATTCCTGTCATCATTCCACATTGCAGATGGCAGGTTGAAAAGTGATGATGTCACAATTCTTTAGTGTAGGTTGCCAGAAAAGTTCATCTTTTATAGGAGGCATATTAATATAGCTGACATGTGATAATGATAATGTGCATGTGTGTCTAAGAGTATAGTTTATATGAAGAGACACGGTCATCTATTCTGCTCTGACAACGTTTCAGCGTATGAAATATTTATACCTAGAAGTTGTTCATCTATTATGAATTATTTTCAGAGACGAAGAGCTCTCTGGAGTGGCATCGCCAGCACACACACCAACAAGAAGATTTTATCACTTGGAGATTGCTTTCGTAGCTCAGGAGAGTCTCAGTCATGTTTCACTGAAGTATATAACTTAAAATGCAACCTAAAATTTCTTTGGAGAAGTAATAGTGACACAAATTAAACTATTGTTGACATAAAAGATGAGAATAATATGAATGTGGATAGCTCAGATGTCTTGGTCTTGAATCTGACGAAAAATGTTTGAGGTCATAATTCATATTAAGCATTATTGTAGACTTTGGGATCGATTTGAGAACAGTTTGAGATCCTGTTGAAAAATCTGAGAAGCAGGAGACTTAATCAAATGTCTCTATTTTGTCTATGTGAAACAACTGAGAAAAAAGAGATTTCATTTGTCTTTTTGCATGACAATGAAATTAAACACATTTCCATTCAAAACTACCCGGGGTTATGAATTCTTGGTCCGGAACAGGGTTAGCATCGCTTTTGTGCTGTTAACCCCTCATTGCAGTACCAATGTGCAGTGTGTGAAACCATGCAGTGTTCGAATGTTATGCCTAGCAAGTTAGCAACCGATAACCAATCCTGTGCCTTTTTCCAAGAGGAAAATCTGAGAAGCAGGAGCATAATCTCTATTTGCTCTCCATTTGGTCTGTGTGAGACCCCTGAGATCATTTTTCTTTCCTGTAGATACACAAACACTCTTGCTTCTTACTCTATTTTTCACACACATCTTGATTAGTAGTTTCTAAACTTGCCAATATATTCTGTGAATTCTTTCCAGCATCTCTCAGTTCATGGATGTAATGTTTTTTTTTTTCATTCGTTGCTTTCTTTCTTCTGAAGGTGGTTGACATACCTCCTGATACTAATATTGGATCTGGTCATCTGTCTTGCTGCTTGTCTGGGTCTGGCCAAACAATCCCGCTGGCTGCTCACTACGTGAGTACAAACCTACATTGCATTACACTGATAAATACTGGAATTAAAGACATCTTTGTTTGAGTGATATTTTGTGGCCAAAGGGGTCATATTTCCTTGATCTTTTGAAGTTCATTGTAATATCACAATATCTTTTAACATTCAGAAAACATCCTCTCCATGACCATTTATTTAATTTTAAGGTTCAGATCGGGGATGAAAAATGACTGTTTTGGCATGAAAAACTTTATCTCAGGGAAGAAAAACAATAAAAAATGTATGATATGACCCCCTTTAAACAAGTTAATTAAAAGAAAGATCAAAGAGAAAAGAACCACGAATAAAATGTTCTTCTCTTTCTCAAAGGATTGTCTGATGTAATGCTGTTCACCTGAAAAGGACAGTATTTTGAGTTTCACCACAGTTCTAATTAAAATTACAAATTTAAAAGGAAACTAATAAGTTAGACATAAGTAATTGATTCATTTATCAGCTGGATTTTACTGCATAATAGTATTTCCTAAAGTGGAAAGCATTTCATTTAGACGCACAGTGCATTTCTGAACAGATAATGCCTGCTGCTATGCTCAATATAAAGTCAAGCATTGGAAGTGTTCTGCAGTCTTATAGAAACATAAGGATTATGTTATGAGAAAGATTTTAAATTGAGCTCAGTGATGGTGTATATGGTACAAAACCATTGTTTAGAAAGTTCCAAAATCTGTGGAATAAGCTCAGTCGGCCAAGATTGGTGCTGTCCACTCAAATGAACACAAACACAAAGCACAAACTGTGCTATACCTATGCTTGGTTGAATCTCACCAAAACATGGCCATCTCTCCACAAAAATAGCTTCTTATTTTTGAAAAAATTGCATTGCACTATTATAGGCACAATATGTAAGATTTATGCAATCAAATATTCAATAACCACTAGCGCAGTGTTATACATGTTGTTCACTTGTGTACATACATTATCCCAAATGTTTCCAACAATGTTCAAATCAAGAGAAATTCTCAATTTCAACCAGTGTAACATCCCTCCTCATTGTGTCGCCTGTCAATGGCGTCATGTCAGCGTTATCCTCGGTTTACGCTTTTACTGTTTTAATGATTTGTGTCTCGTCGGATTGATTTCCATTGGCAGTGAAGGTAAAGACGAAGACTTTTCATGATCCTTCACAGCGTCATCAAGCTACGCCTTTGTTATTGATTTGAATATGCGGCGAAAATGACATACTGTGCCTTTAACATTTTGTTTCTATTATGCATTATTTTCCAGTTGTTTTATGACAATCAAGTGCTTTAACACCCATATTGTCATACTTTATTTCTGAACTGGTTTCTCAGCTGGATTTTATATTGGGCGTCAAGTGGCGACCCAGCACAGTACCTAATTTGTTTATCGTACTGTATTATTTATGGTGTGTGTGCAGGATGATGGTGTTCGGGGTTCTGACTCTCATACTGAGCTGGGCGTCTCTCGGAGCTGATGTGGCCACTGCAGTGGTGAGTATCAGCCGACGAGCCTGTTGTACAATCAGTGATTCGGTTCACGTCATTATCTGAGATATGGAGAATTCAAGACAAACACATTATCAGCATTTCCATCCTGAACACTGCATGTCATATCATTGTGTGTATGTGACGTTATTTGGTTTTGATATGCACTTGAGGCGGGTCACTGAGAGTCCATAGCTATCAAAAGCTTGTTTATGTGGCAAAGCATGACAAATACTAGTCAACTGCTTTCTGCTTGCCTGAAGGAGGTGATAAACCTCCATTTTATTGCGTTTGATGTGGGTGTGTGTGCTATCAAAATCACTGTGGTTTATGTGTTTATTGGGAAAAGAGTAAAATGAGGCAGATTTCGTTAAACCACATAAATGAAGGAGTGGGAAATAAAAGAAAGTGCAAGGAATGTAAAACCACTGTTGGATTTCTCTTATTTTACGATTCCCACATGGTCTCTGAAATTTTCCAGTTTAGTTAAACCAAACCATATAACCATTTCTTCGTGTTGTACACTAATAGTGGGAGAGGAATCTGCTGTTTTGTCCATGAAAAGAAATAAAATTATTTATACAATTTGTCAAACTTTGAACTTCTGAGCTCCTCAAATACATTGTCCAAATCTCTTTTTTTGCAACGCTTAATATAACGGCATGCATTTTAAGTACAAATAGAGGAATGTAGGCCCACCTTCAGTTAAAAAGACCTGGTGACTGTTTTGATTCAGACTTGACTTCCAAAACAACATTTTGTTGACAGCCTAGAAGAGTTTACTACATTGCAAATCAAAATGATTGCATAAAATCTGTGGATTAACTGATTATTTCTTTTTTTTTTTTACCTTATTTTAGGCTCAGAACTCTGCCAAAAGTTCTCAGCACACTACAGGGAAGATGTCGTAGCTCAATAAAAACAAAGTTTTATCTTATATCATTATCCCCTCTGTTTTCTATTTTGAACAATTTCTCTATCACTCATATTCACTCACTACTCTAACTCTAACTGGCAGGTTATGAGTGCATTTAAACGGCTACCCACAAGCCAATTATATCCATCAAGAAAGCAAACCATATGGAAGAATCAATAGTATCAGTATGGAAGAGTGCTAGCAGAGAGAGAATGGGACTCACTCTGGGTGCTATTTTTACTGTTATGTTAAAAAACAAACTAATATTACAAGCAAATTCTGCTTTAAACTAAAATTTGATTCATGGTTGAATTATGTGCATATTTTAAAATGCAATATGTTAATACAGAAATATTATTTCATTGATAATTTCATATGTAAACACTGAAATACACACTCATTGGCACACCGCATGTTCTGGTTACAGATATACCGATTTATGTTTGTCGGTGTGACTAATTTAGTTTATACATCCAGCTTGCAAATATTTCCCCTATCAACTCATTAAGAGAGAAATGTTGATGTACCACCTCTTCAGCATCAGTGGACACGCTCCGTTCACTGTAATGAACTCATCGTTCCTGCAGGCGTCAGACAGACACACAGAGCTTTGATCCTGTCTTCACGGCTAATGAATTAATGCATAACACAAGGCATTGAGCCTTAGGAGTTCACCAAGATGTGGACTTGACTTTAAACTTCCTTGCTCTGAGACAGGATGAGGGGAATGTTACTGAAGAAAAATAAAGGCTCCTAATGAGTCACCATGCATAGATTTCTTTGCACCTGAGGAATTTCAAATAGGAAGGCAGTAGCATCATTGACGTAGACTTCTGAATATAATTTCTTTCCTTTTTTTTTATTCTGTACTGTCATTGTTTCTTCATCATCTTCAGTCTTTTTGTTGCCTTGTCAGAGAAATCTCTCCTTGGTTGAATGGAACAATTATGTCATCGCTGAATGCAAATTTATTGTTGACAGAAATATATCTTCTTTCACTGCCGGAGGATGTGCAGATAGAGAGTGTGCGTGATTTTTTTTTTCCTTAGACAGACATTTTAGCATTGTATCTGCACTGCAACTCCACTTCCTGTTGCCTATACAGTTTGTGTGAAGTCTGTGATATGACTTGTGTCGTACATTCACTCCTGTCTGACAGATAGCTGGGTTTTTTTGGACCTCTGAGTTTATTCTACAAGTCTACAGTAAATGAGTGTGTGTTTGTACCTGTGTGTACAATCGTCTGTGTCGATTTATGTCCCTTCACCCATTGCACCAAACATCCTGCAGTAACTATACAAGCATTTTTAACTATATATTTATTGAATATATATATACACTAGTGTTGAAAGGTTGACATTCTTTAAAGAAATTAATACTTTTATTCAGCATTGGTGTATTAAATTGATCAAAAGTGACACTAAAGACTTTTACATTGTACATTTCAGTTCTTTTGAACTTTCTACAAAAATATCAAGCAGCTCATTTGTGTTCAATTGTGACAATAAGAAATGTTTCTTGATTTTAGATTGATTTCTGAAGGATCATGTGAGACTGAAGACAGTAGTAATGACGCTGAAAAATCAGCTTAACCATCAAAGGAATTAATTTAAATTGTAATATTTAAAAATATTACTTTTTACTGTATTTTTGATCAATTAAATGCAGCCTTGGTGAGCATACAGTAAGTAACTTCTTTAAAAAAAAAAAAAAAAAAAATCGCCCCCAAACGTTTTTAATGGTGTAGTGTCTTTCAATTCATTGCAGCTTGTGTTTTGCGTTCTAGGGCACAAGTGATTTCTGTGTTGCACCAGACAAATTTCTAATGAACCAAACAAAAGACATAATCAGCTCAGGTGAGTGTATCTCTTATTCTAAATGTATTTTTTTGTTGTTTTTGTTGAAAAATACAGACATGAACACATACACGCAAACACACACACACACACACACAGTCATGGCCGGTTCATTTAATCTCTTTTTATGAATGGGGATTATGGTTCTTCAGTGAACACATTTGCATGAAATGGCATTTTTACACTATCAAGTGCTTGAATAGTTTAAAGGGTTAATCTGAGCGACCTTTAATCCTGCTCCATAATCACTGTGACTGAATACATCTGTAAAATGGCCATCCCTGAGATTAAGTAACTTTAAATCCTGTTCTCAGCCATAATATGTTTCTGCACTACCAGACAGACAGAAGCTCCCTCAGGTGCTCGAGGACGGAGCATCCCAGAGGAAAAATTCATTCCTCAGAGGCTGCTTTTTCATAACTCGCAAGGCTTAAAGGAGTAGATCAACTCAAAATGAATATAACGCCACAGCCTGAATGGTTACAAATGGCTTCTAGACATCTATCTATTATAGTGGATGTCATGCATCAGAAGGTGCATTTAATCTTAATGATAACCAGAAGAAATTCTGTATTTCATGCTGTTCGTAATGCACTCTTTCTTCTTATCTCCTCTTCTTGTCTAGATATTGTGCATTATTACCTGTACTGCAGCCAGACTCTCCCCAACCCGTTTCAGCAGGTACTATGGTTAACTGCACTTTTTATGTTTTTTATCCCCTGTAGCGATGCGAATCAAAAGGAATCTGTTGATGCTATTTTGATTCTCATTTTACTGAACAATACTGATTTCCTTGCAAATCTTTCACTACTTTAGAGAAATCAAGATTTTTTAAAACAAAGAACCATATATTAGTGAGTGAGTGCGTCATTACACCACTTAAAACGGATAACTAATATTTTCGAAAACTTAATTGTCTCTTAATGTCTGATTCATTAAAAAACGGTTCATACGAGTCATTTGTTCACAAACAGAGTGTTTACACTGTATGCAATGCAATAGAAAGACTTGCATGTATTATCATTTGTATTCTTTGTCATCACGTTCATTTCAGACTGCAACGTTACAAATCATAATTAATATTTTTCATGGCAATAGGAACTTAAATGAAACCTCATGAGTGACCAATTTTGGAAAAGGCATAAAAATACATGGCACACACAAGTGTTTGGTAAAATAATATTTTTGAAATTAGATTCAAACTATTTTGAACAATACCTTTCTATATTGAATGAATTATAATTACATTTATAATAAACATTTCTCTCGCTTTATCCACCATCTTAGATGGTTTCTTTTACTCTGCCCATCACAATGCATTATGGGATTGTCTTCTCTGCAAAGGATAATTGTCATGTTTCCTTAAAATTTGCCCTTGTTTGCCCACTGTTACATTTTGTAACGGTGTTCTCATTGAAAGTGTGCCTGTGACGCCTAAAATGCTCTCTACAGGATTTAGGTTTTGAAACGTCCAATAGGAATCAGTTCTCGATTCCAAACTGCAACTGAGTTATCGATCTCCCTCTTCTCGTACTTTCCCCTTTCCCCGACTCCGTGTCTTTCTCCCTCACTTCTCCTGTCTCTCAGCATATCTCAGGGTTTTAAGTCAGGCGGTAAAAGGCCAGTGTCCTACATCTGAGCTGACTGCAGTTCAGCTTGACTTGCTTTAACAGAGTTACTGTAGATATCTCTCTCAGATCAATAGAGTTGTCACAGAGAAGAGGAAAGCAAAGATGTTCATAACAAGCTCAGTTGCATGACGTGTATTGACACACAGAGAGAAATATCATGACTGTGTTCCTGTAATGAGAAGAATATCTGGTATTTTTAATCTTATTTAATCAATCTCTTTGTGTTCTGTTCTTGGTCTCATCTTTGTTTAATATATAATTGGTCTTTATTCAGACTCGCACAGTCTCTCGTTCTGTCACCTTTTTTTTTAGTTGAATGGTTATTCTCTGTTTCATTATCTGTTCCTTGCCTCTCCTGTCTTCTCTTTTCATGTGTGTTCTGGAATTGAGAAGTTTTCACAGTGAATTTAATCACTTTCTCATCAAGACAAGAGGGTGAAAATAGTACAAATAAAGTGGATTTATTTAATCAGGTTTTAGATGTGTTTATCTGATGTCCCACCTGCTGGTGAATCTTGTGAACAAAAGCCTGGGTCATATTTCATCACAAAATCATTTGTCCATGCATTATTTTCATCACAGAAAAATCTCATTATTATAATACAACAATTATCATCCCTAGAATATACTAATGAAAACATCTTCAGACACAATGCTTAATTTAATTTGATTATTGTTATAATTGTATATTATATTATATTATATTATATATATGTAAGTTTTATTTTATTTAGTTTGACCTAATCATATTCTTTATATAATATAAATATTCATGTATATAGATTTGAGAGCTGACAGTAGTGATACCAGCTCTGTTTATATGTGGATGGTGCAGTTTCTCACTGCTGGTAGGGAGTGGAACTGCACATCTGAACCGAACCTGTGATGTGTGAACTGTTGTTGTTAATTTTGTTAACTTAGCCCTTAAACAAAACAAACTGATCCTGAATTAGTTTGTTTTGCAGTCGCTGACTGTCTTCCAGAGATCACTGACCACCATGCAGATCCAAATACAGGGTCTCCTGCAGTTTGCTGTGCCTCTGTTCCCCACAGCTGAGGTGAGTGTGCCTGAGGACATACAGACATTTACATTTATGCATTTGGCAGTTTTACCCAAAATAGCTTGCATTGTATACATTACATCGTCTACAATTAATTCAAACTAAATAATATATATGAGTAAATAAAAAAAAAAAAAAAAAAAAATATATATATATATAAAAAAAATTATATATATATATATATATATATATATATATACATGCACATATATATATATATATATATATGTATATGTGTATATATATGTATATGTGTCCAGGTCACCTTTTGCTCGCTCACTCGCTCGCTCACTCACTCACTCACTCACTCACTCATACTAACTTTTCAAACTAACTAAAATTCTTAATTTTAATATTTCTTAATTTTAATATATATATATTAAATATATCTCCAAGATATATATATTATATATATCTCCAAGATTATGCTATTTCGTTTCTTGGTGAATGAAAGAAGCTTTATAAAAGTATTTAATTTTTTTGGTAAATTCTAGTGAGTTTTTTCATAGCTATTGTGTGTGGTTCTTTTCAGAGGGATTTATTGAGCATTCAGCATCTATTGAATAATTCAGAGGCCAGTTTACATCAGCTCACTGCTCTTCTAGACTGCCGAGGACTCAATAAGGTAGCGAGCACTCATACACATCCCACCTGCTTCTGTCTAATATGATGCTGCCCGATTAATAAGATTTCCACAATTAGTAAAATGGATCTAATCTCTTGTGGCATGTGTGTGTTTGCAGGACTACCTGGACGCGCTGATAGGTGTGTGTTATGATGGAGTGGAGGGGTTACTGTATCTCTGTCTGTTCTCTCTGCTGGCGGCCTGTGCCTTCTCAGTCATGCTGTGCGCCATACCGAGAGCGTGGCGACAGATCGCCAACAGGTACAGCACACACACACACACACACACAGAATGCATTATGACGCATTCACACACATTGACTACAGCGCACTTTAAGGGATTGTTCACCCAAAAATGAACATTTGGTCATTTACTCACTCTCAAGTTGTTCCAAACCTGTATGAGTTTCTTTCTTCTGCTTCTTCAAACACAAAAGAAGATATTTTGAAGAATGTCGGTAACCAAACAGTTGATGGGCCCCATTGACTTCCATAGTATTTTTTCCCCCCATACTATGAGATTCAATGTGGCCTTGGGCCTGTTTGGTTGCCCATATTCTTCAGAATATCTTCTTTTGTGTTCACCAGAAGAAAGAAATTCATTCAAGTTTGGAACAACATTCAAATTTTTGGGTGAACTATCCCTTTAACTCTAATAAAACATCCATAAACTTTGGGAGTCAGTTGAAAGTTACAGGCAGGTCTGTTAGAGCCTTTGCATGACGAAATGTCTCCAGAAGCAGGATTAAATGTATCAAATATTAAAATAAAATGTTTGAATGTTAGTGAATGGCATACAATGCTTCTCTTTCTCTCTCCACAGAGATAGAGATTACGATGACATCGATGACGGGGACCCATTTAACCCTCAGAGTCGACGAATAACGTCCCACCATTCACACCAGGGCAACATGCACAGCTTCTGCAGCTACAGTAGCAGCATGGGCAGCCAGACCAGCCTGCACCCTCCGACACAGGCCGTGTCCAACGCACCCCTGTCAGAATACATGTAAGAGTCGCCCTTTAAACATGATTGATTCTTTTTCATATTCTCTCATTTCCTGGTTTCAGATGGATGCGTCTGAATTTTGTGTGATAGCTTAATTCAATAACTTTGGCATGTAATAAAGGGGAGATGTTTGATTGATTTTCCTTCATTATATTAGATAATGAAGGAATATTAGATGAAGTTCACTGTATTACTTTTAAAATACTTATTTCCTTTCTTCCTCCTCCTCAGTCTGACTTGAACTCTCCACATCGCTTTCTCTTTTCATTCATCGCTGTCTTGTTTTGTCAGGAACCAGTCTGCGCTGTTTGGTGGAAACCCACGCTATGAGAACGTGCCTCTGATCGGGAGGGGATCTCCTCCTCCTTCGGTGCGTTGGGCTCCAGAGGTCCAGTCCTTCTCATGACCACACATACACTCATGTTTACACAATAGCAATAATTTACACTAAAGATTTTAACTTTTTTATTTTTCAAAACAAGGACACAATATTTTAAAGTGTACATGAAATCCAAATTGACCATCTACCACTACTGTTCAAAAGTTTTGGGTGGGTCAGTTTTTTTTTTTAATAATCCTTTTATATAGTAGGTACACATTAAGTTAATCAAAAGCGACAGTAAAGACATTTATAATGTTACAAAAAATATATACATTTCAAATAAATGCTGTTCTTTTTGTGACATTGAAGACTGGAGTAATGATGCTAAAAATTCAGCTTTGCCATCACTGGAATACATTTCATTTTGAAATAAACTGACAACTTTTTGGATTCAAATAGGCAAAAATGTCAATGATTGGATCATTATTGCAGTGATTTTTATGTTTCTAGCATGTTATATGTTTGGCAATAGTTCTTCTAACCCTAATTGATGAAGTGTGTAGCTTTTCATTTCTTAAACAACCATGTGGGAAGACACATCATGGTCATATTCCAGGATGACAATGTCAAGATTCATCAGGGTCAAATTGTGAAAGAATGGTTATGAGGGAAAATGAATAATCATTTTCACACATGAATTGGCTCCTCTGAGTCCAGAGCTTAAATTCTTTGAAAGTCTTTGGGATTTGCTGGAGGAGACTTTGCAGAGTGCTGGACTCTTGCATTGTCAATACAAGATCTTTACCATAAATGTATGCACGACTTGATGGAAATAACATCACAACATTTATTTCCATCAAGAGGTGCATCAACTTAAAAACACAAACAATTGGTTGAACAGAAGTGTACTTACTTAGTACCTATTCCTGATGTTATTGTTCACAATTCATCTGTGCTCATCATAACAAAAATTAGACCACACACATGTATTAAGATTGGGCTGAAGTTTGATTTCATGTTGACTTTAAACTCTTACTATGATTGTTTCTATTCTTAATATTCTATTTGCTCTTTAGTGGTTTTGTACTGTCTTCTGCTAATAGATTATTTTACGTTTTTTCTTTGTTTGTATGTTTCTCTGTTTGTATGTTTCTGTTCCTATTTTTCTTATTTTAACCAAAAAAAAACAACAACAAAAAAACTATTCTTTTTGGAGCTTTACTCTCAGCCATATATAAACCGCGTAAGTTGCTGTATGAATGCAGTATTATTGTCCCAGTCCCCCTGTTCTCTGATCCTCCCCCCAATTTTTCTGTTATTTCATCCCTTGTTTTTATACAAAATTTTGTTTGGGTGATTTTTCCCTTTTTCACTCCTGGCATGGATCCTCAATTCCTCATAGACACACCCACACATGTTGTATGTTAGACACAGATTAGTTATATAGAGCACGCCCCCCTATCGGTAGGAGGTCAGAATGTTTTTGCAAGAGCATTTTTTCTGTAATTCTATGTCTAATTGTAGTGTTGTCTGGTCACTAGCATGCCTTTAGGACCCTTTTGTCGCCTAAAAACTTAATACAGGTTTAGAGCGACATGAGGATGAGTAAACTATGACAGAATTACAGTCTTTTGGATATTAACTAGCTAAAAAAACTGCCTTGGCATCATTGGTAATCTTATGGAAGCTTGTTTCGTCCATTTAATAAAGGTAATTGTGACTTTTTAGCTCACAATTCAGACTTTTTCTTATATTACGAGATATAAACTCACAATTCTCTTTATCAGTATTGTGACATGTCAGTATGTCAGTAGGCTTTTGTGGCTGTTCGAACGCATTCGACCACATGAACGTTTACAGTATGAAAGCAATCAGTTTTCGACTACCTCTGGAAGTGGTCGAAAGTGGATAAGCTCAAAGTTTTAGACCCCATCTACACCTGTATTTAGCGTCGTCCTCTTGTGATCCGATCGACCAAACGTTAATACCAGATGTAAACGGGGCCATAAACTTGCAATTGTGAGAGGAAAAAGTCAGAATTTCTGGATAAACTCGCAATTGAAGTTATAAAATCTGAATTGCCACTCGCAATTCTCAGAACAAAAATTCTCAGTTTTTTTTTTTTAGCTGTGAGTTTATATCCCAATTCTGACTTTATAACTTGCAAGTTTCTCTCTCTATTCTTAGTAAAAAGCCAGAATTGGAGATATAAAGTCGAATTGCGGGATATAAACTCAATTGTGAGTTAAGTCTAAATTGTGGACTCTTAATTTGAAGAGACAAACAATCTGACATCTTTATTGCAATTATGAGTTTTTATCTTGCAATTCTGACTTTATAAGTTTTATTTGCAAGTTTATATATCAGAATTTTGCGAGAACAAAAGTTAGAGTTGTGAGAAGGCATAATTACCTTTTTTGTTATTATTTTTTATATTCTTTGGCGGAAACAAGCTTCCATAGTAAACACTTTTAGTCACAACAAACAAAAAGTGTAGTTCATTTTCATTTCACTCTTGAAAAATAGTCATTGTTTGCTTTAAATATCCATCTAGATAGTGTGAGTTTGTGACTCCTGTGTTGCTGTTCTCCGCAGTACTCTCCAACCATGAGAGCCACCTACCTCTCCATGACCGAAGACCAGATCAGACACTTTGGGGAGGATTTCCGAGCGTAGAACTGATCCGTTTTCTTCTGCCATGCACACGTTTTACCTGGTGTGATTCTTTACACGCCGGAAATCTGGACACATGGAAAACTCACGCCAGCATGTGTGCGCATCTTTATTTGTGTTACAGGACCACAGTCTGAGAGGAGAACATGATGTTAGAAGTACTCTGTGTGTGTGTCCATATGGGTGCGTGCATGTATGTGTGTGTTTGTCGATTATTCTGATGGTGCAGTGCATCTTTTCCCTCACTACTGACACATTTGTGAGGTTTCTGAAATATCCTCTAATAATCTTTTATTTGTATGTTTACATCATATTTTTCATCAAATAGACGGTTGGTCTTCCCTATTGCCTTTCAAGTGCAGAAACTGTTCAGTGTGGGTTACAAAAACTATTTTGGACCCACTTTATATTAAGTGTCTTTAACTACTATGTACTAAGATTTAAATGATTCATTTGATGCAATGCATTTATTGTGTACATACATTTTTGCATTGTATTTATTTAAATACCTGCATGAAATTGCATCTGTTGTTCATTTCTGTAATTACATCTTTTACACTGTTGACACTTTGCTTACCCCTTAACCTACCTTTAAACTAACTATACCACAAAACCTGTCCCTATACTTATCCGTATCCCACCTCAGTAGCAGCAAAAGTGTTTTGCAAAACAACATGAGCACAATAAGTACATGGTACCTAACAATCATTGTTTTTGTTTTTTAGTATTATTTACCATTTAGGTTACACTTTATTTTAAGGTGTCCTTGTTACAGTGTAATTATACAATTTAGTACTGGGTAATATTAATTAGCTACATGTACTTAATATATAATTAGGTTTAGGGTTAGTTGCTTATAACTATGCTTAAATTACTGTTTGTAACTATGTGTAAAATGTGTAACAGGGACACTGTAAAATAAACTGTTACCATTATTTATATACTATTAATTTATATATTAGTATACCGGTATTTATATACTATTATTATTTTACTTGTAATTTTAGCTAACTAACAAGACAGCTAAAAAAAGTATTATTATAATATATATAGTACATAGAAGTTAAAGACACCTAATTTTAAGTAGTTTTTTTTTTTTTTTTGTACCAGAGTACATAACCTTCTAAAGGTTACCCATTTGTCATATTAAAGGTTGTACATATAAGTGTGGACAATGGTTGAAGTATCAATATTCTGTGCATTGGACATATAGTCCTTCATAGTGTACAGCATTGCTAGTGTCAACATAGTAGGTTTGCTAGGTACTTTTCTAAGCAATTGTTGCTCATGAAAAGGTGTCTTACGTTTTTTAGCTACTGTGCAGTGTGAACTTCATGAACATGTCATCACTTTTTATGATGGCTAACTGTACAGATACTAATGCTTTTATCTTATTTTGAAGTGAATATTTTGTTTTCTAAATGTCTTATGTGCCAAGAATGGAAGCATGTTTTGTGCCTCTAAAGCATTCCCTTTCATTGCTTTAGTGAGTTCAGTGAGTTCCCACTGTGTATTAGGATGGGACAAAGAGGGGGAATAAAAGCTTTTCTGTTTGTTTTATGCATGTAGAGGCATTTTAAAGCACAACATGATCACTTTGGGTTTATAGTGACCATACACAGTCACTTTGTACCACAAATGATGTTTCTAACATCCAGAGAGACTTTCACCTCATTTCCAGCAAGCACAAATGAGAGGTCATTTTACCTGGAACTTAAAATCTCAGACCTTCTTTTCATACCAAGTGTAGAAAGCACACTGAGCCAACTTTCTCCCATGCTGCAATGCATATGCTTTGAATTAACCTGTTGACCAGCTGTAAATAACCTGTATGGTAACAGATGTTGTGTGATTATTTGCTCCATTCTTGTGTGCCATTCTCAGTATACTGTTTGATAAAATCAGCTACTTGGACAGATGCTTGTACAGCGTGTCCTTGTTTGAGATTGATGGTGGCTTCCGTCTGGTTTATTGCATATAGTGTTTTTAATACAACTGATTTTAATACTTGGGGTGCGTGGATGACACTGTTACAGACAGTGAGGTGGTGCTGGATTTCTGTCTAACTTAGAGGGCAGAAACGTGGATATAATAAAAAAAAACATTTTGAACTGAATTGAGACATTTGAGTGAAAACTTTTATTTTGGAATGTATATAACATTTATATACAAGCACATGGCTTGGCAAATAGCAGGGCAGGTTTTCAAACTATGGGGAAAATGTTACTTTCCATAAAACAGACACATTAAACATATTTGTGGCTTTGCAAATGTAGGCCGAAACCTCAAAACAATTTTACAAGTGTTAATACATTGTATGACACTTGACCCGACATGACGTTTGTAATAATAGGCTATCTTGTCCTGTGAAGTTTAACTTTATGGTAAGATCTACTGTTTTATATAGCTAATAGGTTATATTATATTTGTTTCATGTCTGAATATCTGCCAGTGTGCTTTTACGATTTCAGCTATGATGTATAAATATGATGATTTATGATGGTTAACGTTTGGAGGCCAAAATTCACACACATGATTCTAATTTAATAAGATTTTTAACTGGACGTTTGAAACCTAGAGAAAACAAAACAACCATTGTTATTGGATTAAAGGCAGCTGAGATTTAGCCACAAGTATGCCTTGCATAAAATTAAATGTATATTGAAATTGACTGAAAGTGAAACTGTTTATTTAACCACTCTTATGTTCCGTATTATTCCTGAAAAAAAGAGTTTTATTGGTACTTTTCTCATTGAACCCTATGAGTGTTGTTGTTACATGGCGCTCTCTACTGGCCTTGTTGTCGAACTTCAGTAGAAGAGCAGAAAGCCTGAGGTAAAACAGTCAACAATGTTCATCTCAAATGCGAGTGAAACATTATAAAATAGCGCATTTATATGTACGTGTACAATTCTAAGTAGCATTAGTTGCTTGCTATTAGTATTTAGTACCATTTATATTAGCACTATTAAAGAGAGTACACTACAAGTATGCATGCAAACGTGACGTCACTTGCGCCACCGCTGCTAGGATACGGTAAACTACAGACCAGTGAACCACTAAAACCATCGAAACACAGAAAGCGACTCAAAATCAGGTAATATTAAATATATGCCTTATTTTGAAAGAGTTTAACTTTAAAAGGGTGCCTGTCATAGATTGATACGTGTAATGTTCTGGAAGTATTTCCAAAACTTCTGACACAGCTTTAGACCTTATGATGGCTGTGCCTGTGCTGGTGTTTGGTTGGACTTTCCCTAACAGTAACAGTAACCCAGCTGACAGGAGACGTTCTCAGAACTTTGGCTAACATTCTCTGGCAAGGTTCTCTCAAAGTTATGAACTAAAGTTCTTCTAGCAACGTTAATAGAACGTTCGTTTAAAGTTGTCTGTAACGTCATCAAAACATTAGCACAAAAATGTTATTTAATATAATTCATGCAACGTTTTTTTTCTGAAGCATTTTAGTTGGACGTTCGATTAATGTTCTTTTAAACATCACATCAGATACATTTAAAGGTAACGTTCACATAATACTTGCAAAATGATAAAATAGAGAAAACCTTCCCAAGAAAAACTGTTTTTAAAAAAAATCAGAAATTGTGTTTTTGTAAAACGAAACATTGCTACAACTACAACAAATGAAAGAAAGGGGGGTGAAGTGCTCCTATCATAAATGATGCTGATGAGATTTCATTATTTATTTTGAGATTTTAAGTTTTTTTGTCTAGTTTAGTAAGCAGATAATCTTTGGTGACCAGTTTAGTATTATAATCTAAAATACTTCACTGTAAAACATTTAAGTGTTTTTATCATAAAGTTTCAGAGTTTCTCATCAGTAAGTGGGTGTGACATAATTCCTCCAAAACTATTTTAATCCAAAAATCTTTATGTATAATAATTATAGAAACATTCATGGCTACATTAATTGGGGAAATATATGGCACATTTGTATTTTAAAAAATTAATCACCAGCTTGGTTTTGTCATTATTAAGTGTGTGTGACATACTATAATTCCTCTAAAACTATTCAAATTAATTGAGGAAATGTAAGGCATATTAGTATTTTTTTTTTAATTAATTTGTCACCCCACAGAACGATTGCAAATTAACTAGTGAAAACAAAACATTTACCCTATAATTTTTAACCCACGACTTGTTAAAATGTATAAAAATACGCATTTGATCATGAAAATCTTGTAACTTTACTTACCTTTAGCTAAGATGGAGATTGTGTACGTGTACACAAAAAAGCGCAGTGAGTTTGGCCGCCAGTGTAACTTTTCAGACCGTCCGGCTGAGCTGCATGTGGACATTCTGCCTGACCCTTCCCTCGCTGCAAACTTCACTGTGAGAGATCCATGTAATGTCACCATGCAGTGCGCAGAGGAAATGTCAGAGCATGAGGTTAGACCAGCGTTTAACAGCAACAAATCCCATGAACACAAAAAGTTCATGATCCTGTTTTCTTTTGCAAACAACTGTACATTCATAAAATGTAATATTAGAGTTACAATATTTTTATATAGAAATTAGTTTCAATCATAGTCTGAATTAACATGAAATTCTTGTCCTGTTCAGGTGAACACAGAGCGCTTTGAATCAGAGTCACGAGGAATAAACCATGTGGAAGGAGGGTGGCCGAAAGATCTCAATCCAGAGGACGTGGAGGCGACCATCCGCTACAGGAAGAAAGTGGAGAAGGATGAACACTATCAGAACACGATTATGCAGATTGCTGGTGTGAGTGCCTTAAATTAACCATGAAGTATTATATTTGAGACGAGAAATGATGTGCTGGGCTTATATTTAAACCTGTATTGTGAGCTTCCTCTCAGAAGAAGACATGTTTTTGACTTCTTTGCCCATTGCAGCTCATGGAACACTGTAGCAAGCAGAACAACGCCACTGACATCTACCAGGACTTTTTTGCTGATGAGGTTGAGGAAGAGGTGGTGGAGGAATCAGAGGAAGAGCCATCAGCCAAGACGATCAATGTCTTCAGGTGAGCACACTCGCCTGTAGTGATAAGAGCAATATCAGCCAGGTAACTTGCACAAGTTTTGTGAATGAATAAAACATTCAACAGATTTTTAGGCCTTTTTGGGTAAATATTGTGCTCATTTAAACATTTATATATAAATAGAAATATTTCTTAAAGGGATAGTTCACCCAAAAAATGAAAATTCTGTCATTAATTACTCACCCTCATGCCGTTCCACTTTCGTTCATCTTTGGAACACAAATGAATATCTTTTTGATTAAATCTGAGAGCTTTCTGTCCTTCCATTGACAGCTACGCAACTACGACTTTGATGCTTCAAAAAGTTCATAAAGAGATCATAGAAATAATCCATATGAATTGAGCGGTTTAGTCCAAATTGTCTGAAGAAACACGATCGCTTTATATGATGAACACATTGAATTTAGGCTTTTATTCACATTTAAAAATTCACCAACTCACACATTATTTGTGGTAAACAGAAGCTCAGGCATGCTTGCTTAACGTGCGAGAACCAATGAGGTTCATTCTTGGGTTAAGCAGCACGTTTGACCTTACACACACACACACACACACACACACACACACACACACACACACACACACACACACACACACACAGTACTGTTAAACTGTACAAAACTTAAAAGACTTTTGAGACATATAGTACTTAATAATTTGGGTATCTGTGCATTTTTCTAGAGACCCAAATGAAGTGAAGCGCACAGCCACAAGTTTATCCTGGCATCCCGATGGTAACCATAAACTTGCTGTCGCCTACTCTTCCCTGGAGTTTCAGAAAGCACCCAATGACATGAGCTTCGACTCCTACATATGGGACATTGGTATGCCATAAAAAAAACAGCATTTTCCTGTGATATAAATGAGTCGCCACACTTAGAGAGGACAAACTATATTGAAAAAATAATACTCTTTTTACCTTCAGAAAATCACAATAAACCTGAGATGACCCTGAAACCTGTATGTCCACTTGTTTGTCTGGAGTACAACCCAAAAGATTCACACATTCTCGTTGGGGGAGGCTACAATGGACAAATTGGTTGGTTTTATCGCCTGAGCATCTCTTTGAATTCACAATTAATCATTTTCTATTCTAGCTACCAAAACCCTTATGACCATATGCACTCTTTCAGTGGCTTAATTAGATTGGCCTCAGTCGCTCTGGGCATTTTTAGTTCTCAATAAATTATGGTTAATGGAAAAAAAGTACCTTTGACCTTGTCTGAATAGTGTTTGATAGACGTGTATCTTTTGTAAAGTCTAATGGCTGAACTAATTGCCTTTGGCATTGAATGCATAGTTGAAATGAGTATGCACTTTGGAATGGCATCTGTAGATGTCACTGTGCAAATTTTACACAAATGTGCTTGTATGTTTTTGTAAAATTATGCATGACCACCGTGTTGTTTACCCCGTTACCAGCGTACTGGGACACACGCAAAGGCAGCCAGCCAGTAGAGATGTCCACCATCGAACACAGCCATAGAGATCCTGTCTACAAAGTCATCTGGCTGCAGTCGAAGACAGGCATGGACATCTTCTCAGCTTCTACAGATGGTCAGGTCTGTGTGCAATGACACATAAGTCCAAAAATAAAGAAATAAACCACACAATATTTCATTGAGACTTGCATTGCAGTCCTCAAAATATGCATCTGACACCAGGTGCTGTGGTGGGACATTCGTAAGCTGAGTGAGCCCACTGAGAGACTCGTGCTGGACCCCAGTAAGAAGTGGAACCTTGATAATGCCCTTGGTGCAATCTCACTGGAGTTTGAGACCACTATGGTAAGACCAGTTCTTATTTTTTTTTGGCCCAGTGCAAGAAGAAACCTTGTGGAAACAGATGTTGAGAACTTAAACATCCTTTGTTTTTGATTACACAAGCCTACTAAGTTCATGGTGGGCACAGAGCAGGGTCTTGTGGTTTCGTGCAATCGCAAAGCAAAAACCCCAGCTGAGAAGATTGTATGCACATACAGCGGACACCATGGTCCCATTTACGCCCTGCAGAGGAACCCGTTTTTTCCTAAGAACTTCCTGACCGTGGCTGACTGGACCGCACGCATCTGGTCAGAGGACATCAAGGAGTCCTCCATTATGTGGACCAAGTAACTTATGTTTCGTTGTTAAAATACAGCATTTTAAAAGTAATTCTCTGTTCAATTTTGGGGGAAATATAAGTTTTATCTACACTATCAGTCTGGGGTCAGTAAGACTTTTTTTTTTTTAAGAAGTTAATATTTCTCTTTAGCAACAACACATTCAATTTGATAAAAAGCAACAGTAAAGACTTTTACATTGTTCCAGAAGAGTTCCATTTGAAATTAATACTGTTTTAACCTTCTATTTGGGCAAATAATTCTGAAAAAACTAATAATTATAATATCACAATTTCCACAAAAATATTAGGCAGCAGCACAACTGTTTTCAACATTGAGAATAATAAGAAATGTTTATTGAGCATCAAATCAGCATTTTAGAGTAATTTCTGAAGGATCATGTGACTGAAGCTTTGACATCAAAGGAATTAAATTTTTTTAAATTAGAAAACAGTTATTTTAAATTGTAATACTATTTCACAATATGATTGTTTTTCTGTGTTATTTTAGTGTCATTGAGATACTGGTATAGTTTTTATTATTTTGAATTAGATTTTATGTTTATATTTTCCATTTTCATTTTAATTTCAGTGCAAGTTTTAGTATTTTTTTTGTCTTTGTCATGTTTATGTTTTTTTATTATATATATATATTGTTATTATTATTATTTTTTTTTTTTTAAGTTAACATCTTATGGTTTTAGTTTTAGTTATAGTAATAACCCTGTTGTTTTACTGTATTTTTATCAAATAAATGCAGCCTTGTTGAGCTTTCTTTTTAAAAAAACATAAAAAAAAATAATAATAATCTTGCCGACCCCAAATTATTAGTGTAGATGTTTGGTAAAACTTGCACAGGTGCCAGTATTTCTAATCTATTCTTTCTCCAGGTATCACATGGCCCATCTGTTAGATGGCTGTTGGAGTCCAGTCAGACCCTCAGTCTTCTTTACAGTAAAGATGGACGGCACCCTGGACGTGTGGGACATCTTGTTTAAACAGAACGACCCCACTCTCAGCCTCAAAGTTGGTGCTTAATGTCTCCTTGTACTGAAACCATCTCACAGTTCAACATTTCAGCGTTATCTGTTTGAGGAAATATTTTTTCTCTCTCACAGGTTTGTGATGAAGCCCTGTACAGCATCCGGGTGCAAGATAACGGCCGTTACCTGGGCTGTGGCTCTCAGCTGGGAACCACCACACTGCTGGAGATTTCATCAGGCCTGTTCACACTGCAGAAGAACGAGAAACCCCTGGTCTCAGAGGTGAGACACAAACACAAAGGCTGCATTCATTTGATCAAAAATACTGTAAAGTAATGTTGTATTGTCTATGTTAAAAGGTAATTTATTCAAGTGATGGCAAAGCATCATTACTCCAGTCTTCAGTCACATGAATCTTCAGAAATCATTCTAATATGAAGAAACGTTTCTTATTATTATCAAAACAGTTGTGCTGCTTGATAAACCCATGACACATTAATTTAGATTCTTTGATGAGGAGAAAGTTCAAAAGAACAACATTTATTTGAAATAGAAGTCTTGGTAACACTTTACAATAAGGTTTCATTTGTTAACATTAGCTAATGCATTAACCAACATGAACTAACCATGAGCAATATATTCTTACAGCATTTATTAAACTTTGTTAATGTTAGTTAATCAAAATGTTCATGTTCATGTTAGTTCACAGTGCATTAACTAATATTAACAGATACAGCGTTTAATCCTAAAATGCATTAGCAAATGTTGACATTAATCAATATATATAATATATATACATATATATATTATAGATTTTTTTTATTTCTATATGTATTAAATTATATATATATATATATATATATATATATATATATATATATATATATATATATATATATATATATATATTGTAGAGAGTTTAAATTTTAAAGCTATTAAAATCTGGGTAACACTTTATTTTGCAGTGTCCTTGTTACATATGTTACATGTACTTAACATAGTAATACTAATAATAGTAAATTATGCATAATTACATGCAACTAACCCTCAACCAAATCCTAATCCTACCCTAACCCTATAGTAAGTACATGTTGTTAATTAATATTACTCAGTACTTGAAGTCCCCATGAATTCAAAATTGACCATACTTACTTTGTTTGCCTAAATTGATCGTTTTGTGGTAAACAATTCATCCATGCAAGTCAATCCACACAAAAAAAATTGTTGGCTTCGTAATCTTTAATCAAAATCTTGGAGGACCTTCCCTGATGACGTAGGTTTGACGGTTTGGGTGTCTGCTTAACATCCGTAATCACGCCCCTCCAACTGACAGTAGACAGGCTGAATGAAAACACCTACTTTTCTAGATCCAATCAGGTGCTAGTTGGGGAAAAAGCCACGCCCACTATTTTGCCTCATTTAGTATTCCGTTTCTCTCGGAAATACGTCACAACACTGGAGAAAAGTCGTTTGCAACTTCCGGTTCACGGCGACTTTAAATGTATAATTACATTGTAACAATGACACCTTAAAATAAAGTGTAACCAAAATCTGTAATATAAAAAAAAAGAATGATTGCTCTTTTTTTTAAAGCATTTTCAATAATCATTCTAGGGGGAAAGAAAAAATGGGTGTCAAAATAATTTTGTATTTACTGTACATCCATCTGTCATAGACTGGACTTGTGTATTTTACCTTGATTTTTGCAGATGTTTGAACGCGAGACCAAGCGGGAGAAGATTCTGGAGGCTCGGCACAGAGAGATGCGTCTGAAGGAACGCAGCCGCTCCGAGCAGAGCCGAGAGGACGAGGGCAAAGAGGCAGATGGGGAGGAATGCACTGAGGAGCTGGTGGCCCGTGCAGAGACGGAGTTCTTCCACATGTTGGAAGCCGAGAAGACGAAAGAGAGGAATGAGGAGAAAGAAAGAGATATGGTCAAGGATGTTCTGCTTCTAACGTGTTAATGATTTTGTTTATGTTTCTGACGTCTGAAAGCTTTAATCCAGGTTTTTAACCACACATCTGTGTGTTTTTGATGGGTGTTGTCATATGTGTGTGTTTCAGAACGGCCTGTCAAATGAAATTGCCCCCCTTTGTGGAGCTTAAACAAATTGTACCCCATGTTGGGACTGTTGCTCCAATAAGATAAGGGTCCTGAACGCTATATATAACCCTGTTAGCTGGGGTGAAAACGCTCTATTGTGAACGACAAAGAAAGAAAAATCAATAAAGTCTACTTTGTCTGTTCCCAGAATGCTTTATGCTCCTCCGTGATTGGTGAGGAGGCATTTGAGCTTGTGCGACCATCAGAAGTGTATTGCTATAGGCCCATCTACTCAAAGGCTCATGTGATTAATGGTTTTGGCCTTTTCAAGGACCTAAGTTATTTGAAAATAAAGAGGGGTTTATAATTAGGTTTGTTTTTAGTGTCTCATGTGATTTCTATAGGAAATTAATTGGACAAAAAAGAAGTTTGGTCTCATAGTTTCTGATCTGTCTTTTCTAAGAGTATTTGTTTTTCATTCCCTGCAGGAGAAAGGCGTGTGTGAAGAGAAAGATTTCCAGGAGGAGCATGAAACTAATGGTGTCGCTTCCTTTACAAGAAGAGAAGTCTCTCTGTAGACTGTGAACACAGAGCTGAGGCTGCTTGCATCAACTGCTTAGACTAGTCTTATAAGTTAGTCATCTATTTCTTTATACATTTTTCAAGCCAGTCATATAAAGAGGTAGATTGGTCTGATTTGAATCTGAAAAGTAAGACTGATTAGCCCAAACTAATTACTTGTTGCAGACTAGTTCTTAAGTCTTAACTGCACTAGGTTTATGCAACTCATTGTACTTTCATAATGTGATGTATTTCAATGGATATTCAATGAGAAAAAAATATAATATCATAGAATTTATTTATCATGAATTGACTGGATTGTGTAAAGTGGGTGTTACATACCAGAATGGAGTCAGGTGGTCGGAATGGAGGTTTGAAAAGTTTGCATTTTGAAAAAATTTGCACTTATGAATTGTTCAGGGACTATGCTTTGAAATGAGATGTATTGTGAAAAGTGCTATACAAACATGATGACTTGCAGGAATGTGCATTAAGAAAGTAAAATAATAAAATGTTATTTAAATATGCATGATTGTTGCAATTAGTCCAACTCTTGTCAGTGTTGTTTCCGATTTTCCACTCTTGTTTTATATTCTCAAAACAGCACCAGATTATGTTGTCTGAAATGGAAAAGCTGTAAAACTGTTATTATAACGACATCATTTTTGTAATAAAATATATACACATTTCCATAATTTCTGTCTCTACCTTGATTGTATCTCTTCTATTATGAATAATATTTCCAGTTCTGAAATAATAATGATAACAATATTTATTAGTAGTAGTATTAGTATTATTAGTTTTATTTTTAAAATTTGTAATTTGTGGAGAATTAAGAAAAATAAATGGATGTCAGGGTCATACAAACGTTCTGGGTTAACCAAGAAGTTCAACTTAGTTAAACTAAGTCTTAATAAAAGGCTGACATTGTAGAATTATAAATATAACGCAAAACACAAACCTTAAAAATAGTTAACTGTGTTATAATTATTTATTTAAAAATGTAACCTTAAATAACCTCACAATCAAATTATATAACTCCCAAAACAATAATGTTTATTTATATTAATATATAATATTATTATTTATATATTATTATTAATTTTATAATATTTTATTAATTAATACTTCTTTAATTTATCGAATTCAAATGTAAAAAAAATTGACATAAAACGACAGTTACAGGAATGAAGCTGCAGTTCAAGGCCTGACCAGCAGGTTTCGCTGCTGCCTCAGAGTCTGAGAATGCCCACCTGAGTGAAGCATCAGCCGCGGTGGATGACGAGCGAGTGCGCACTGCTCTACTGCTCATCTCATCTCTAGGGACATCACAAACACAACACACACACACGCTCTATCACGGGTTTACTGTGGGTGGAGAGACACACATCCTGCTCAGACATGGACCTGACGGACTCCACGGCCCGTGTTTAATCGTTCGGAGTGTTTTCTGTCCTCGTCGAGAGAGAGAAGCGCAGGTGAATTGTTAGATGAACCATGACCTCGCGGCGTCTGTTGTGCTCTCTTCACGCGACGCGCATGTTTTAGTTTACACTTAACGTCCCGCAAAACATTACGATGAAGGACACTGCGGAATCAAAGGATCAGCAGCTGACAGTAAGTCCACTGACTTATTATTTTCCTCCACTTCTGTCTAGTAACTTAGAGTTTGTAAACAGTGTTCAGCCAAAAATGTGTGTATTCATGTAGATTATTATATGGAGTCTGTACTGTACATATTTGTGGTCGTATGTGCTTATATGTTGTTTTATACTTTTTTCAACCAATAATAATAATATACATATATAATAATATGTGTATATTATACTGTAGGGCATCTGCATTCTGATACACTTGCGTAGTTTGCGTGTGTGTGTATTATGAAATAGGCTATAGCTTATATTTTGTGTAACTTTGTTTTATCATTACAGTTTTTAGACTGCAGCAAGTTATTGTGTATATATACAGTACAGGTCAACATTTTGGAAATAAGTCTCTTATGCTCATCAAGCCTGCATTTATTTGATCAAAAATACAGAAACAACTGTAATATGGTTAAATATTATTACAATTTAAAATAATGGTTTTTTGTTTTAATATACTCTAAAATATAATTTATTTCTGTGATATAAAGCTGAATTTTCATCTCTCATCCAGTCTTGGAAACAGTTGTGCTGCTTAATATGTTTTTGGAACCTGTGATGCTTTTTTCAGGATTCATTGACGAATAAAAAGTTAAAAAGAACAGCATTTATTAAAACTATAAATAACAATATAAATCTTTACTATGACTTAACACAATTTAACACATCCTTGCTGAATAAAAGTATTAATTTATTTCAAAAAAAAGAAAGAAAAAAATATATGACCCCAAACTTTTGAACGGTAGTGTATATTGTTACGACATATTTCTATTTTAAACAAATGCTGTTATTTTTTTAACTTTCTATTCATTATAGAATCCTGAAAAAAAGTATCACAGGTTATAGAAAAAATATTAAGCAGCACAACTGTTTCCAACATTGGATTATATAGTTTTGTTTAGCTTATATTGAGAGACTAGAAAGTATTTCTATTTTTATTTTTTTATTTTTTTATTACACCACATGACCATTTACAATGATATACTGGGGCAAAAAGGTGATTTTAAAATTGTGACAGACTTAATAGATAATAGCCTAGTGGCCAGTTATAGAAACTATTAAATATATTATTTTCATTTAATACAATCTTAACCTAATGTCTTGTTGTTAAAAAAGAGTTCATGCATACATTATGCATTAACTATGCATATGTGCATACTTTCATACCTTATGCAAATGTGTGACATACATTATATATACACAAATGTATATATAGAAACAAACAAGTGACTATAGAATTGAATAAGATCTACATTTCATTCCCTGACAGCCTGTCCACTTAAAACCCCAGGACAGATTTCAGTCTGACAGTCTACACGTGTTATATTTAGATTCTCTGAGAGCTTAATACCTGTTTTCTAGTGATCTTTTGCCCCCCCTCTCAATAATTCACAGTGCAGTTTAAATTCCCTTTCTCTTATTCCACTGTAAGACATCATTTCAGTGCTTTAAGAAATGTAAATGTTGCACAGTTATGTACATTTAGCCCAGATTCTCTATTATTATTAAATCAATAATAATGGAAACCAACTACTGCTGCTCTTAGGTGGAGAAATTTGCTGTGACTTCATGCAAGTATTCGCTGAGAGCAACATAACAGAACAGGTTTAGCCGCATCCCGTTAAGCATATTAAATCAGACAGCATTTGTTGCTCTACCAGCAAGAATAGCCTCCAGCTATAATATTCATACTGCATAATTAACTACCTAGATTGCGCTGCATCATTGCCCTTCAGTGTTTATTTCAGTTGTGGACGGATGCATTCTCCTGCTGGCCAGCTGACTCAAACAGAGATGTTTAAAGAGAAATGTCCTTGAAATACAAATTAATGTGAAAATTGTACTCTCATTAGATAATTGTATCCTGCTGCTACTATCTATTATTTCCCAAGGATATTCATAAAAATGATATTATATAGAGTGACCATTAAGCCACATGCTGTTAAACTTGTATGAATTTCACTGCATTAGAGACAAAACATTACTCGACATTTAGAAAATGTTCTCATTGTTGTAAGTCTTTTTATGAACAGCATATCAATTATTTTATCATTTAAAACAACGATAATATAAAAAAATATATATGAAAAAAACAACACATTTTTTGTGAAATATTTACATGGAAAGTGTGCTTGTGCTGTCTTTAGATTTATTTATTTTTCCTCAATCTCGTCTTGTTGTTGTATTTTGGCGTGTGTGTTTCAAATAAATGGCATTTGGTGTAATATTTTATTTAATGCAATTACATTCATACATTTTAAGTGAAGCATAGGGTTCAAATACTTTCTGAGGCCAGAGCATTACCTTTATTTCTTATTTTCCAGGTGGCCCTCCGGATTCGGCCATTAAGTGATGCTGAACTGGAGGAAGGAGCCACTATTATAGCCCACAAAGTGGATGACCAGGTCAGAGGAGAACGATCAATCAGTTATTATATATGTATATTATATATGTATGTGTGCGTGTGTGGCACAAGGACAGCACTGCATGTTACTATGCATTCTTCTTAAAGGTGAACTAAGTAACTTTTTTACCTTAACCGAACAGCTTTGAAGTCATTGTAATGTTTATATAACTGATTTCGTGTTGAATGGTGGTCGTCTCGCACCCCCCTGGTGCCTGTGAGCCGCAAAACCACCCTTGCAACTTTGGGCCGGCGAGCTGCCGGCCTGAGTGTTAGGAAGTATCGTGTGATATCAGGTCTCGCGAGGTAACGAATTGCTTTACAGCAAAAAACAGATCAAATGAGCATCAAACAGAAATAACCCGGCGCCGTATACATGTGGTGTTGGGCGCGCGCAGCTCTTAAAGGGGCCATACCTTATTTCCACTCGTTACAGCGTCCATCCTACTGAACAGGTACCGGTGTACAGGGGGAGGGGATCCGGCCGTGAGTTCGAGCCATTTCTGCGTGAGTGCTATTCACGACAGTACAAGTACTCCACAGCGACTCTAGGGGTCGCTGTTTGACAAAAACGGAATTCCTACTTAGTGCTGCTTTAATGAAGAATATGCATAACTGCCTCAACATTTTTGGAAAGACGATTGCCTATATGTGTATTTGTGTTCCCAATCTGCAATTTTAAAAATGTATTGCTGTTTATGCTATGCAAGACTAGTGCACGATACCATACTTCTAATTAATGCTTTGTGGATTTAAAAATATAATGTTTACATTTTATGTAGACCAACGCTACTTTTGCGTCATCGAAGGGTAACGCCCCTTTTTAGGGGAAAACAAATGGATTCCCCTGAGAACAGAACTCGCTCTAGATCTGCTAACTAAGTTTCTTGATAGCAAAAATGGCACAAACATACACACTCTCTTTGCTGACCGAGGACCGTGAGCGGTATTTAAAGAAGCTACTGGGTACAGGGTTACAGAGGTGTCCCTTTGAAATGGTCGAAAACTGGATTAATGACCCCACACAGTGGCCAAATATGGACTATTCAGACATCTAACGTTACCACTATCTCGTGGAATCACCAAGTAGCCTTTTTTTTTTTTTTTTTTCATTAACACTCACAGTATGACAAACTAGACGATGAGGCCATGTCACTTGGATCATATTTAACT